TCCATGTATATCCTCTGGGATGTAAATTCTACTGAGTTCAGTCAAAATTATGTATATAGGATTGGAGCCTACATGGACATTTGCACAGCTACAAGAAAGCCTAACATGAGGTTCTTTGTTAATAAGATAGCAAATAGAATATGTGACCATAATGGAAGTCCATAAGTTTCTATGTTCATATATATGTGATGGAGAAGCCTTTCATAAGCTTCTTTAAAGGCAGTGGTCATTTTAATGTTTTGTTCTCATGTGTGTTTCCTCCCACCCACCTTGCAAATTTCAGCAACACTAACTGGATGTCCTTTAAAAAATGCTCTTCAGATCACCTAATTTAAGATATGAAAGTAATTCACATCAATTTTCTGATAACAACTTTAAATTCAGAAAAAAATCTGAATAGAAATTTGTGTGAACAAAAGAAAGGTTTTGTTTTAAGTTAATAAAAATGAAGTAACAGCAGTAGACATTTTAAGGTTCTTAGGCCTCAAAACAGGTGACAGATAAGGCTTTCTGCGGTAACCACCTCTAAAAATTATGCCCTCATCTCATTTTCAGAAAGATAGTGAAAGCAAGATTAAACCAGAAACAGTGTATCTGAAATACAGATGCAACTGTAGCATATTATTAGGCTGTATGTTATTTTTCTGAACAACATGTATGAAAACTTTATATATATGTACATACACACACACCTTAATTGATTTCCTGCTTTTTCAAAAACTTTGTTCCTTAAGAGTAGCTTGATGCATAAACATTCGTTCTGGATTTGTAAAGTAGTTGTGGTGGAATAGATGTCAGGTATTCTCACTCACAGTGCCTGAGGACCCTGCATCTCTCCTCCAATGTCATACACAAATACCTAGATTTTGGGCACCAGTTCTAACATTATAACAGTTTTATATTCAATGCATCCAAGTCAACATCTCCTCTGGTTCTTTTGCAAACACTGGCCTCTTTGCACAATGCTTTGTGCGCTCACTTAAAACGCCCTGAGAGGCTTGCTTTAAGCACCCAACATGTGAAGGGGCTTATGCATGTTGATAAATTATTTTTACCTCCAACCAGCATTTTACCAGCGTTTGAGCTAAAACTAAAGAGAAGAGACAGGAGGGTAAATGGGAAAGTTTCTCAAGACGAAGTTGCTGTCCCTTTAAAGAGTTCAGCCTTGCTTCAGGGAAATAGCTGGCTGTTATTGTCCAGTCTGAACTGAGCACCGGAAATGGAGAGGCTATTTGCCCTCCCGAGTTCGCACTGGTCACTCGGCCATTGTCCTCGGCCAGCCGTGAAATCTCCCCCAGCCCCCCAAAAAGGAGGGGGAGGGGCGAGGGGAGGGAGGCTAACTGGGAAGCTCACCCTTCCTTCTCCTTCTGCCCCGAGACGACAAGATGCCTCACAAAATCAGGCATGACCTCTCCCCGCCCCATCTGCAACCCCTCCACCGGCAGACTCAGGATAGGGGGGCGGGCATGGAAGATGATGAGGAAGAAAGAACCTTAGACCTTTGGCTCTTTTCCCCTCCAGGATAATCAAATGGGCCATTTCCGCTCAAAATATGTAACGCCAAATATACGTCAGTTTGGAATGGAAAGGGGACGGGAGCGCGCAGGGAGCGAAAGTAGCTCCAGAGCTCTGGAGGGCTAAAGACAGAATCCCCTTCCTCAATTTGGGGGAGGGCAAAAAACCAAATCGTTTCAGATAAGAGCTAGGCGAGGAGGAAAGACATGAATCCCCCCCCCCGAAGAATGTGCCCGCGCGCCCTCTCCCGCCCCTCATGCACGCGTTTCGAGGGATTCTTCTCTTTCCCCCCCTCCCCCTCATCGATCATCGCCCTTTGGTGCCTTGATCGCCTCTCATTTTAGCCGATTGTCTTTTAAGCAGCAACCGAGCCCCGCCCACTCCAATCCATCAACCGTGGAGTTGCAGCGAGATAATATAGACATCAGGATACATCCACCAGCGCCCCTGCCTGTAAAGAAGTCCCAGCCCGAGGAGCGTGCTCCAATCGTTCTCGCCACCTCTCCCCTCCCGCCCAGGATTTGATTAAAACCGGATTGTGCCCTGAAAAGCCAAGATCTGTAATGAACGTAAACAAACTTGGTTAGCCCCGCCAAGGGTTTGATTGGGAAAAAAAGCAAATATTGTGTCCCCTTTTGATAAGTTTTCAGGCTAACTAACCGATGTGAATACCAGCGAATATCTTTCCATATTATTTTATAATTCCAACTGATTTTTAAAAAACAAATACCAGTCTCTTCCTTGTAAAACAGGAGTATTTGCGATTACTTTTTAATATACATTCTGAAGCGGTGTAATCATTTCAATGTTTTTGCTTGATTTAGGACCTTAGACCTCTCATTCCCTGAATCTAAATTATTTAAAAACATTGTTTTGTTTCTCCAATGGAGAGAAGCAGCTCAGAAAAAAAATGGGTTGGTTTCCCAATTACGGATTTAGATTAATCTGAGTCCCCCTCATAATATCTGACTTTTTCCATTCCCTCTGTAGAGGTTTTATGAGGTACATTCATAATAAAAATTATTTCTTGCTTACACATTTAGATCTCTTCTTTATGGTCCGAGGTAGAGAAAGTTCACCTAATTTTTAATGAATGTTCTATTTTACAAAGAAAATAAAAAAGCCTAAATGTGGGAAATTATTTTTCCTAAATGAGCAAGCAGGACTTTAAGTTTTCAACCGCAACCTGCATTTGCTTGGAATTCCCGTTACTGATCTCTTTCCCTTTAAAATATCTTCCAAATCATATATATACACAAACATAAAATGTAAAATGCATTTACATTTCTAAATAACTGCGCCTGTCTTCCCTCAGCCCCTACTTTGAGAATTACACCGGGAAAAATTGGGGGTCATTCTATCTCATCCACCGATAAAAAGATAGAAAGGTTAAAAAAAAAAATCACTTGAGATTATTTCTCTCCCGAAATGCTGGAGGACGACATGGTGGAAAATTCAAGGGACCAGTTTAGCCTTCCTCCTCCTCCTCCTCCTCCTCCCTCCATTCCCAAAACCAACGAAGAGCTCTCATCTCAGAAAGAAGCTTAACTTGCTAAAGTAGAAAGGAATGAAGGAGGAAAGGAGAGGGAGGGGCCTCTCCTTTTAAACAGGTCGTTTAGGATCAAGCTGATTTGGTCCTGACCCAACGGGCTAGGCAGGAAATGGGCGCGTGTGTCTCTCTGGGTGTCAAGTATTAGAAGCTCATGGTCTCTTGGGAGGAGCAGAAAGAAGTCCAGATGGGAAGGAGACACTCTTTTTCCCCTCCCGACAGGTAAACCCGCCCCTCCCCCCATTCACCAATTTGAGGGGAAATACCTCCCTTGGAATGGCTAAAGTTGATGGGTGCAATTGTCACGTGGAAAAGTGCGTGTGTGTGCGCGCGCTCCCGCTCCCGCTAGAATGGCCGGCTTCTCCCCTTGTGAACCCGAACCCAACAGAACCCCGATAGTGACCCTCCAGCGGGTTCAAGAGAGCTCCCACTCACGCTCCAAAGGCAACAAGATTGATAAAGTGTGAAAGCGAAAGTTGAGGGGATGGGGGGATGTTGGGTTAGTGTGTGTGTGTGTGTGTTTTTAAGTTTTGACACTAACCAGGATCTCCCCCTGCTCCAGCCTGCAGGACCGGGCAGCAGAAGGTTACATTTTTTGGTCTCCAGAGAGAGAAGAGCGCTGAGATTGGGGGGAGGGGAGGCGGGGGAGGGGAGAGCTCGCAAGGTTTGGCGTTGGGGGAATTCTATTGTCTCTCCGAAATTTGGGAAGCCATAGGAGGCCTCAGGCCCTCCCACCGCTATTGTTGCCGTGAAGATGTAGCAAACCTTGGGCTGGCTCTTTCGTCCCTCCTCTTGTTTTGAATCTTCCCCCACCCCCTCCTGTCCTCTCCCCCCTTCCTCTCTCTCTTTTTTTGGGGGCTGGGGAAATGTGGTGACACCCTCTCCGAAGCAGGCTGGCAGAGAGGAGGGGAAGCAGTTCCTGCTAGAATCCACCATTTCCATCAGGAGTGCAGAATGGGGTCTGTTTCTAACCAGCAGTTTGCAGGTTAAGTGAAATTTTCCTACCCAATTTTTCCTCTTCTTGTAAACTGTAGGCCTTTCTTGCTCGCCTCTCTTCTTCTTTCACTCTTCCCTCACCTCTGCCCATCCTAGTTTGGAAAAAAAACAACTCTGCACTCTAGAGATATTTCTGGTTTCTTCTAATATAGAAGTCAATGCCCCCTTCCCGTTATAAGACTTAACATTTCTACCTCGATTCCTTCCTTTTACTGTTTATTTTTATTACTTTTTTGAGGGAGGGGGAAGTATAACTTCTTCCTTGGCTTACCATGTGCTTTTTCTTTTAGGAAAGGAGGTGGGTGAAAGAGCTTGAAAACTTTTTGCTGTATTTGGCAGCTGGAGATTTATTATTTTTTAAAAAGAGAGGGGTTGGGATTTTTAAAAGGCGCATGTACAGATTTCCAAATGGTTTCGGGAGGAAAACGCTGCCCTTTCTGGCATACATTTTTTTCCCTTCAGTCTTTCTTTTATATTCGATTTCTTCACACGCGTTTCCAACTTTTAGGACAATTTCCAAATCCACCAGGACAGGAGCGTTATGGTGTGTTTTTTTTCATCCCCTAAAAATATCTTCTGGCTTCGCTCTCCCCCCTTCTCCAATGTTTCGAAAGGGAAATGCACCAAATACATTTTGATATATTGCCACCTTATGGAATTTGGAGGAGCGAAGGGAGTTCCCGGTATTTCCGTCCCCCCCACCCCCTGGTTTGTATCTTGGTTAGGAAATTCCTTCCCCGGTCTACCATGGGGGGACGATTTAGGGATGGGGTTTCCCCTCCGTCCGTCCCCAAAGAACCCCAAACCCGAGGCTCAGGATGCTTGTTCGCCCAACCACTTGTGAGGATCCGTCTTGCCCACGGCAGGGCTGGAATTCCAAGCTGCTCTCCGGGCAACCGCGGAATGGCGGGGCTAATGCTTCCCGCTGGAAGGTGGTGTGGGTTGACCGAGAGACAAGCCAGGTCCCCCCCGCGGGCGTCTCGTGGCTGGGCGCCCCCCACCTCTCCCGCCGGCAATAGGAAACCGAGGGGAGCAGGCTTCCTGGACTTGCCTCGGACTGATGAACCGCGTGTATGTTTCTAGGTGGCTGCGCTAAGGCGGGCGAGGAAGAGCCCAGCGGGGATTCGCCCAGGCCGGACGAGGAAACCCAGCCGCTCTTGCATGGCGCCGGGATCTGTAAATGGTTCAACGTGAGGATGGGCTTCGGGTTCCTCTCTATGACCACCAAGGAGGGTATCGCCCTCGAGTCCCCCGTGGACGTTTTCGTGCATCAGGTAAGGGGAAAAGGATCCGGGGCGGAAGGAGGGGGTCAGAAAGCTCGGACCAGGAAGGTGGCTGGGCACGCGCTTCCTCCAGGAGCTCCCGAGCCAGCCTGGGGCCTAAGAACCCAACCAGCGTGGGCCTTCGGTGCTGGGCGCAGCCTGGAAGGAGTTTGCGTGTATGCGCAAAGTTGGGGAATTGCGCCTTGGGGGCGAAAGGCCTCGCTGGGCTCTTAGGCTGAGCGGATCGGCAAGAGGGCGTAAACCAGCGCAGGGCGGGAGAGGGTCGTCTCACAGAAAGAGGGTCCCGGGAGCTCGGCCGGTGGCAAAGGAAGGTCTCTGCTCTCTACTATGGCAAAACGCATTCGCCGACCACGCTCTGTGCCTGCGCGAAGTCGGTTTCCACGCGCGCTTTTGCTCTTAGGTGAACGTGGGCCTTTTCTCCGTTTCCCGCACCCCGCCCGGTCTCCTCTCTCGAAGGCAGAAGGACCAGTTCTGGGCTCTTTTGCTTTCCCTCATAGTAGGGTTCAAGGGTTAGGTTGCTGTGAAGTGATATCAGTTTGATTTCATTTTTTTTCTTCCCCTTTTTCTAAATGGGCTGCTTGGGAGTTTGTCTTTAAAATGGGAAGGAAAGCCGCGGTGTTAAGCAAGCCGTCGTGGTCAATAATCACGGATTGCAGTGATGGAAGGGAAAGAAGCAATTGTAAAAATCTCCACAGGGAGCTACAGAGTTTAAAATCTTCCTTTCCAAAATAAAGGGGAAAGAGGATAGGAAGACAAAAAAGCCTTGTTCGCCTTGATTTCCATGGGTAGTGGGCTGGAGAGGCAAGGAGAAGGGTTCCATGTGGAAGCACCGAACTGTGGAGTCATACCTAAATATATGATAGCCCAATATCTTGGCTTGCTAACTCCATCATATATTTTGTTTAGCATGGTTGTTCAAACTCTGTTAGGTTGGCTTGTACAACATGCTATGTCACAAATCATGGTTTGAAAGAACATACTATGTTCAGACAATCTGCTAAGTTTAAAACAAGCCAACCAGGTTGATGTAGCACTGCCTCCGCTTTAAACACTGAAGCTATTGAAACAGACTTGGTGAAGCTGCCAGCATCCTGCCTAAAGTAGGGAGGTACAGAACATAAAGAAGGATGAGGACTATTGGCCCTCCAAATGTTGCTGCACCCAACTCCCAGTAGTCCTGGCCAGCATGATGAGGAATGCTGGGAACTGTAGTTCAGCATCTGGAAGGCCATGAATTCCTCACTTGTGGAATATATAGTTTTATAGCCTTTGTGCAATTTTATAATATTATTTCCTATGCATTTTGCTAAGGAAGACTTGACTGGCACAATAGTGTCTTGATTTGCAATCCAACCCAGTAGGCATTACAGTCTGGTTAGTTCCCAGTGCCACTGATGCCAGGATGATCTGCCTCTGATTAATAAGCAGCTGGCTGACATGCTCCCAAAAGCTACTTGTAGCCATTGTAGTCTATTTCACTATCTGGGTGAATACAGTGCATACTGTATATGTCAAAGATTCAGATGGCCCTGTAATCTGACAATGATTTAGTACCAAGAATCTGGGACAAGACAATAGTACATTTTTGTGGGTGAAAGCTTAATAACCATTATCTGGCAGAATCCTCTTGATGCTGTGTTACAATCACCTAAATTCTGGGAAAGGCTGATTTAGGGGCTATTTAAAACCATGGGAGTTACCAAGGCTAAGCTGGCCTTTAGTTAGATACAGCAAGGCTCTTATGTTATGAATATGATTTCATTAAAGACTTCTAGAGAAAACTAACTAAAAGTGGATTGTACTTGGGTAGTAGAAGGGAAATGGATTGTCTATAGTTGCAGGATATATTTTTTTTTACATAACAAAATTGTGGATTTAAAACCAGAAGTTCCGATGAGGAAAATTATATAAATGATTTTAAGGATTAGAGAATTTGATGGAAGATAGGCCTAAGTGATTAGAATCTCTTTCAAGTTTACCAGGTACCCTGCTTAGTTTTTTGGTATCACCAAGATGGCTTTTAGGTATCAGAGTGAAATGGAACTTCCTGTTCAAAGATAGTGCACCTCTGAATTCCAGATCCTTGCAGGGATGCCACACATTATCCTATGCCAGTGAGACTCAGAAGAGTCCTTGGGGTTCTCTGAGCTTGATTGTTGCACTGAAGATGTTACCTAGTCGGGTAACGAAACGTTTGCAAGGAAACAGTCAAGCTCAGAGAACCCCAAGGACTCCACAGTTCAACCCATATTCTCTTCTAGAGTCAGAAGAGCTGGCCACAGCTGGAAATGGACTGCTAAAGGAGATGGGTGAATGTTATTAAATGGGTGAAGTAAATGGGTCCCATAAGTGAGGAAACAGGAATTTACATTGAGTAACAAAATTGCTTCATGTTGCTTTTGAAACGCAAGGTCTTTTTTAATGTTTTCTTTCATAATTTTCACCTAAAATTTATATCTGCTGACAGTAAAATGGCTGGAAAAAATTTCCCCCCAAAAAGGGAGGGATCATTATTTGTTTCTTTGTGTCAGCAGCCCCAGCTGCAGCCCCAGATTTTATAGTTCAGTACTTAATAGAGCCTTCCGTGATGCTGGCTTTGAATACAGGAGGATTTCTTTCAGCAATCCTGTTTAGAATTGTACTGTAAGCTATCCTCTTTTTCCACGGTTTAAGAGTGACTAACTGGGTTTTGTGGTCTCAAGATCAAGCTTGCTTCTCATTTTCTCACTCTTATTTTCCAAGCCCCCCCCCCTTTCAGCCTAATGAATAATCCTAGTAAACTCAAAAGCTTGCTCATTATATTTTGGCTGATCCTATTAGAGGTATCAGTCAACTGTGGATTTTGGTTTTTCCCTAAATGCACCACATGTCTTCCTTTGCTTCTTGAAGGTAAATAATCTGTGAAAAGTAGCACCTTTTGAATTAATTCTGTTGCAAAGTCAGGGTAACCACATTCTTCATTGGGCAGTTTTCTTCACTTTAATCATGTTTGTTCTTCTTACTACATCAGATAAAATACTGTTGAACAGTTTCTGGATGGTACTTATTTTCTTTGGGACCATGCCATTCTTGTTGGTATTATGCTATCATCCACGTGAAACCTCTTGCTGTTTACAGAGGAAAGATAAAAAGAAGTTCTGATTGCAGATGATATTCTTGTTTATACAGCCTAAGAAACCTTGGATGGTACCAACACTGAGTGCTGTAATTATAGATTTGAATTTAGTGGTGCAAGATCCAAATTATAAATGTGTATGTATGCTGCTTCTGATTCAGATGGAGAACTCCACCCCTCCTCTGGGAATGGTTTCCCCAGGTAAAGGCATAGATGAATTGATGGAAAAGCCCAGAGGGAATAAACCTGGAATGTTGATTCCCCTGTTTTCCTTTGGAGAGATGTGCATGGAAGGACATTGCTTTGTTTTAATCACCTTGTCTGTTGTTTGGAATGTGGCTGAAATTTAGAGCTTTGGGAGATCTTGGAAACCCATCCTCATCAGTTGGAAGGCAAAACAAACATTTGGAATTGATTTTGCATCTGATTGCAGGCACTAATGCAGGTACTACAAAAAATGAAGGAGTCAGGATGTTTCTGGCCATAGTAATGATTTTGCTATATTCCCACCCATTGTAGAAAATGAACACAACTGCTTCTTTAATTTGTTTGAAATGTGTGTGTTGGGGGGGGGTGAAGGGCAAGGAAACCCTTAACATCAAGCTACTATCTCCCTGTTGCGATTGATTTTAAACTGCAGATTGACTTTAAACTGCAAACTCGTGGCTGGAATTTTTGAACTTTCATCCTTCTTCTCTCCTTTCTTTTTATAACAATTGCCTGGAATTCTGGAGATCTTAAAAGCTTGCATATCCTTTTGTATCTTTTTTGTTGGCCCTAATAAAGGAATGGCCCAGCTGTAGATTCTGATTCTCTCTTCTCAGATCAACACTGCTTCCTTCTGTTTCTATATTCTTTAAAATCAAGACATACTTTTGTGGCCACAGTTTGACTGCACTATGTGCTACTGTGCTATGGAAATCTTGGGGAGGTTCTCATTTATACATTCGTTTTTTTTAAAAGCACTCAATATTTTAGATGTCACAAATTCATGGCATACGATTTAATGATTAAAGGGACCTGAGGTAGACAGAGGTGATACATCTGATGAATGCTAATTAGAGTGGGTTCAGATACAAAGGCTCTGGTCTTTAGGGGCCAGTCTTTTCGTCAGGTGGATCACAATCTTAGGCCCCAGGTCCATAAATGGTCTCTAAAAGCTTTGACTGTTCCCCCCGGAATGCCTCCAAAACTGAATTCTAAATTCTAATTTAGTGTGACAGAAGGGAAAAAACATTAAATATATGGGTGTGAGAGTAGTTTTCAGATGGCCAGCAGCAGACAGCCTGTTATTAGAGCATTCTTTACCAGAATGAAAAACGGGAAGAAATTGTCTCTCAGAATATAGTGATTCTAAACTGGCTACATTGCAAGAGCGGAAGAAAGTGGCATAAAAAGGTAACATCACTGTAAATAGATCTCACATTTCAAACATAGAAGTTGCTGGAATTCTGTAGTAGCGTTTCTACTTTATGTCAGCTTATCAGGAATTCTTGTATCCTTGATTGCTTGTTTCTCTATTTCTGGTCCAGCTTGGTAGGAGAAGCCTGACAATGGGAAATAGCATTCAACCCAAATCACAATCCATGTTATCACATTTAATATTTTGCCCTGCCTACTTTTAGGAGGGCTGCCTCTAGCATATTATCAAAACCAGCTATAACTGTTGGCCCAGAGAAGGTGCACACCCTTGAGGTATGAAAAAATGGTTGCCTTTGGTGGCAGGTGCTGTGGGATAGGCAGTAGAAACAAATGGCTGGGACCAAGCAATATGCTTTGTAGCTTCCCTGCCTCCCCCCTCCCCCTGAACAAATCTGCTGCTCTTAGCTTCTCCTACATCAGTGTTGTCCAAACATGGCCACTTTAAGATGAGTGG